AATCAAATGCATTATTTATTAGTCCGAGTTCAGGTTTTCCGTTTCGATGGATCACGACGAGTTCGCATTCGCTGCACCATAGACGTCTGCATCGACAGTTGTGCTCAGGTATGTTTTACAAATGATTCCTTTGTTCATATACATAGGTGCAGCAATGACAATCAGCACTAGCATGGGAACCACAAATCATTACAGAATTATCACAGAATCAATCAAAATCAACAATCAGGAGTGGCGCTCTCCTGTGAACATTTTCTCGGCAAATGAAGAAGATCAGCAATCAGCTTGTCCCTTATTGAAAACTAAAGAATGTCAAAAGGGACCAAATCTTTCGGAACTCTCGTCTAGCTCACTGCAATTTGATTTTCTCGTTGCGGGTTTGCGAAGAACAAAACAGAGATAGATGGAACGGTAGGTGCAAGAGGATGGAGAATTCGAATCATCGCAAGTTTATGGGTCCGCCTTGCGCCGCGTTCTAGTCTTTCCCTACCAAATATCGAATAGTGAACGGCAATTCCAACTCAGGTCACATAGGAAACAAGCGGGAATCCAATGAAATCAAGCTACATATATCAAGATCGACATCGAACAAAATAGTGTGAAGGAGTAACAAAGAGATACGCGCCACTGTATGCATGCATGTGAACAGTTTGCGAACCGCTGTTGGAAAGCCTTGTCACTTGAAAAACCGAGTGACTCCTGCGACAACGACTCTACTGATCTCTCTGTTGCCGCAACTGAAGATGATGCCGTCGATCAGTGTATCAGAGTTGAGGCCGGCTAGAACGGGGGAGTTCAGATTGAACGAGACGAAGTCCAGTTGTTTGCCGATCTGTAAAGTTTTGAATTTTATCAATCGTAACTGAACCTCGCCGCCAGTATAGGCAGCTATACAATATCAGCAACGGTATCGTCACAGTGGTGACACAAATCAGAAGGAGATATTTCAAAGGCTTATAGCTTATTTAGAAACTGAGTTATTGCTGGAAAAAAATCTGATTTTAGCTCGGTTTCATGGAAAATGGGCGGAGGCGGTATAGTGGCAAGCAGGGTCAAGCGTGCGTTGAGGAATCCTCGACATGTCACAGAGGGGGGGGGGTCGTATTGGCCCGCTGGGGAGAGATCGGGCCCGATTGATACAGTAGGATCATCGTCGGAGGACAAACATTAAGGATCGAATCGATACCAGGCCAGAGTATTTCCAATAACAATTGATTCCGTCCACACAAAATCTTCGTGATTTAGAGGTGTCCGCTTAGCAATTCTTAGTGACTTTAGTGTTTCATCACCACACAAGTCAAAGGATCCGAAATTCGCACGTTTTCTAGGGATATTTTATCTTTCAAGTAGGTCCTCAAATCCAACGAGATGTGAAGCACACGGCGCATCCCAGAGTGGGCCCAGTTGGTTGCGCGCGCTTCAGCTACGGCTATCTTGATAACGAATCTTAATTCAGGAAGAATCAAGAGGGTTCTGAAAGAGTTCATGTTAAATTACAGAGAGGAGTACACTATTCAACAAGAAACGCAGCCTTCAGCGTCAAATTCACAAGCATGTAACCTTTAAAGTTGAGACCCGCTAAACAATTTTACACTTTTTGCAGAGAGAAAAGCACGAGGATTTTGAATCTGCTCCTACTTCAGTATGTAATCGCTCCTGCAAGGAGCTATAGTCGTTGGGATAGTGCTAATGTAGCGAAAAAGTACCTTTCGGCGGTACTCGGGCAAAAATCCTCAACGTGGCCATTTTTTAAATAGTGAACGTATTTAGCAGTTTTAGTTGCCTATAGAAAGAGCAAATCTTCTAGTTTATGATGACGTATTAACTTTCCAGATTGCATGAGTTTGAACGGAGTTATGGCTTTGGAAAGCGTAAAAACTCGCACTCATCACGAATTTTCCTCGTTAATTTTGCAAAAATCCTCAACGTGGCCATTTTTTGAGTACTGGACGTATGAAGCTGCTTTAGCGACCGTTTGATAGAGAAAATCTTCTAGTTTTGTATGACGTATCAACTTTTTGAATTTGACGGAAATGAAGCAAGTTATTGCTCCGGAAAGTGTAAAAACTCGTGCTCGTCTCGAATTTTCCTCGTTATTTGATCTAAATTTGTTATTTCTTATAACTTCCTGTAATTTCAGTACTGATTAGAAAAAATTAAATTAAAAATTGAAATTGAGAACCATAATCTGTGTAGTACTAGAATTTGGTAAGTCTTGTGGAGGAAATAAACAAAGAAGAGGTGTTGTCATAGTACGCCATTTCTAGTGACTAGTTTGACGTTTTTTGCTCCGTTTCTCGTTTGCTCGTTTGACAGGACTCGTCATTAATGATCATTCTTTGACTTTTTCACTTTTATACTTTTTAAACGAGTTTTTTTGTGGACGATGGGGTAGCAGGGCTTTTTTATGAGCAGTTTTGGTGGAGAATTAAACAACTTTTTCATAGTTCGGCTTTTTTAAAGAGGGTTGTTTCATGGACTTCGGCCTTCGGCAGAGGGAGGGGGGGGTCGTATTTCCGAATTTTCCTCGACGCCTCGCTTGACCCTGGTAGAAGGTTGGCAGCTTGCCACGCGCGCGGTCCGGAATCGAATCCTGGGCAGTGCTTCACCCGAGCTATTCAAGCCTTCCACCCTTAGGGGTCGGTTAATTTGTACCAGACTTGTCTGGGAAGGATAAAAACACTGACTTGTACATCGGACTGGCCCCGCAAGTCATTGTATAGGCCACATCGCATTCAAACGCCACTACGAATGTACAAATGGAAGTAGAATGCGTGCCGCATCCCAAAGAGGGATCAACCCACGACAAAACGCTCTATCCTTGCATCCTTTACAAGCGATCCGCCTGCAACTTCAGCGGAAGCCCCTTCAGCTATCTCCGCTTAAAAGTAGCGGTTACTGCAAATTCAAGAAGGGTTTAGTGTGACGTGGTGGTGCTCAATGGTACGCCAGTAGCGAAAAAAGCAGAAAAATCCGTCAAGAAAACGCAAAACGGGACCCCCTTTTTTGGCCGTTGGTTTTCACTCATGAACAGGTAACAGCTTGAAAAGTGGGGGGGGGGTGGGGGGACGTGAACGAGTTCGCACATGGCACCATTCCAAACTACGCTCTGTCAAGATGCTCCATTTGCCGCTGGCCACGCAGCTCGTCCAAATCAACAAGTAAAGTGGCGGATCGCTTTTGGGGGCGGAGCGCTTTCGAAGTCCTGCTCAGCAACCAGCGCACCTTTCGTCGTGAAAGCGCCACATCTCGCTTCCCTGGCAGCCAAGTAACTGATTCGTGTGGTGCATATGCTTCCCCGATGCGCTCCTCTTTATCGTAATCGCTGCCTTTAAGATATGAATTGCCAAGTTAGTCTTTCTTCGCGTGTGGGCAACTCATTGGAGCTCCTACAGTCTGACAGTTCCTTTGGGTCTTTGTTTTTCGCTTATTCCTAGTGAAGATCTCACTGTTTCATGAAACCAGTGCTCGTCACGTGCAGACCACACAACACAAGTGACGACGGCCTCCAAGTAAATCTGGTAACTTCATAGTGATAGCTGATTTTGGTAAATGATAGTTGTAATTAGTGACAACTGATAGAATACAACTGCAACAGGCTAATCATTTCATTGGCAGAAAACATTTACATTTTGTAAAGGCCGTCGTCACTTGTGTTGTGTGGTCTGCACTTGACGAGCACCTGGTTTTTGAAAACAGTGGTGAGCATCCACTACCACTTCGGAAGAAGCGCAGCGCAGTTTCACTGCAAACCAGTTTGAAATGAATACGTCTCGCACGAAAGCCTACCTCTATACTTCCAGTGATGTTATCAATAGAAAGGGATCGAGCTCCTCCCATGGTAGCGTGGTGGAGCAAGCGGGCTGCTGACAGACCGCCCACACTGCGAGAGTTGTGTCGCATCTGAAATGCCTCTAGTATTCCCAGCAATTGCTCGCACAATACTGAATAAGATGTATTATTAGCTGAGCCGAACCTGCTGAGAATAGCAAGCCCATCGCATTTCCTCGAGAAAGCTGATGCGATTGTTGCAGTCAGTGCCAAAGCTAATGTGTTGATTATCTATCACATGCGGAATACCATCTCCCAGATATCCTAGAAAAGCGGAAATTATTATTCAGCTTTTAGGGTATCCGAATTGTGAAAGGGTCCGGATAGAAATAATGAAACTAGTGAGGAGAACACCTTCTGTGCATGGACACACGACTACGTTCGCGCCAAGCTGTGTGAACTTCTTCATGTTTGGAAGTGGTGTGTAGGTGGCATGGACAGCCGAGAAGAGAGCGCCAATTTCGAGATTCTCTAGTAGGACGTCCGACGGGCCCTGAAACTTTCACTATGAGACGACAATCCTGTCACGGTTAGAAGGCGACTTTGCAAATAATATCTACATATTCTTTGGCCCTATGCAACGAATACCATGTGAACTTTCCCCATGCTTTGTGAAAACGCCTCATAATTTGCTTCTACATAGTGTTCTGGAAATTTTCTAAAAACAAGTTCCGGGCGACAACAGAACCCTATCCGCCGCAAGTACAGAGTCGCCCCTGCTCTATGCAAAAAAAAGTTGCTGCTGGGCGTGCAAGAACAAAGCAATGCATTTGCATCCATCTATTACCGGAGCAAAGCCAAATCTTTCCGCATTGACGATTTTGAGAAAGAGAAATTTGCTCTCAGGAATGAAAATCAGAAGCAGTAGGATTAGTGGAATTTTTTATTTATTCACAATGTCTATGTGATACCTTTTTCTCTCCGAGAAATCGCATGCAGTCCTCAATCTCTCTTTCGGTTGTTCTTCAAGATGGATGTGGAATGCGAGCTTTCTCTCTACGGCAAATTCGTACAGCTTTCTGATGTTATCAAAAGTAACGGCTCGTGCTGAATGGGCTAAAACAAAATTTTAAGAATTTCAGTACTCAATCGTACAATTTTGAACAGGATGGTTGTGCAATATTCTCCTTGTTTCCTGAGATAAGCCTCCCTTACCACAGCAGAAATAGGGTGGTGGGGGGGGAGGGGGGTTGGGAAGGGGTAACGAGATGCCCAAGGACGACCACACCTATTAACGGATCTGAATTTGTAGGGACGCTCCCTTTTTTCCACACCCTTATCGCTCTCTAACAAAACGAAAAGGGGCAACAAATTATCAGAGTACACTATTATGAAGACGCCCTAGTTGCGTTGGTCAAAAACTTTTCACGGTGATTCAGCCCTGCTGTGTCGCACCCAATAGCACATACCCTGCCTAATGCCGGCTTTGCATGTATGCCTGCCTTCTCCGCAAAGTAATCAATTTGGACCAGCGCCGATCATCGCGGTACCGTCAAAGGCGAGCAGTTCGCGCGGTTACCTCAACTACATCATGTCCTTTGAAAGGATTGCTCACTTACATACAGTACAAAGTATTCGCCGAAGATGATTTTTTCAGTGCGTCACTTTTCTCGCTTGAGCAACGCCCTCCAAAGATTGATATAATATACTTTCTAGTTTCACAAGAATGCTGGGTTGTGAACAAAACTTTCGCCCCAGGCGGGACTAGAACCCGCACCTCTCTCGCCTCTCCGGAATTATGCTTTCCAGGACTCCGCGCGTTAAACAGCAAGATTAACAAACAAACAAGAAATACTTCTAGCTGTTTGTCCTATATCCCTCAAGTTTTAATGAATAGCGGTACCTCAGAAAGAATTTTTCGACGCCAATATTGATTTTTTTCTCTCAAAAATTGGAGAGAAGCACGAAAAAACCGTTTCGGCGTACACTTTTTGACCGCTACTGTATAACCTACATAAAAGCCCTAACAAAAGCTCAGTCTCAGGAGTTTGGATCCCAGTTTCAAAGCTATTGGAAGCTTTGATTTTTGATTCTTACATTCCTTGACATGAATTATTTATCATACGACATTTATCTTTTGTATAGTTCCTTGCATAGGAGAGTAAAAAAAAAAAACAGTGTTTGTTGTAGGACACTTCCCATCAGCTGTAATTGAGGAGTAGCACTGACCTGCCACACCGCAATTGTGACTGTTGTGGCTTTGAAACGTTAGCAATTTGTTAGAGGTCATCGATAGAGCACTCTTATAACTGGAAACACGAAATCGCTCCTGTACAGGATGCAGTAGCGGCTTGTCGAAGCTGGCATGTTCGTAGAATGTCTGAATTAATTTGGCACTTGTGCGGAGTAGCCCGTCAATCAACGACTGATTGTGAGTTCATTACTGCAGTATTCCGAAACGGTCTACCTGAATGAGGGTGATCCGGATTCCAGCGTCCTGTGCTGCTTTCAGAACTGTGGAGTCCAAATCAAATTTGCCCGTGCCGTGATGTACGTAGTGGAACTCTCCTACAGTAGTTATACCTGCTTCCAGCATCTCGCGAAATGATGTGTAGATCAGTACTGGAAAATTAAAGTTCAACAATATAGCCTGCGTCCTACTTATGTTGCCATCTGAATAGTTTTGTCCATCCTATGGCAAGCATCGTCCTACGAATCTTTTTCTTTGTCGTCACTGTCAACTTTGCGGCTATCATGCTTTTCAGAAGACGTACGTAGGCTAAGCTCAAATCCGATTCTCACGAAGCTCACTGGATTCTGCAAGATTTTCGACGAAAACAAAACAAAACCTCGTAGAGTTTCTCTGTTGTGATGCCGTCCACGAGCGCGTACATGTTGTCTCGCCATTTCCAGAAGGTGTCCGCCGCTTTGCCACCGATTCCACTTTTTCCCCGGAGATGGCGGTGGAATGCATGCGAATGGGCGTTCACAAATCCTGGCAGCACAATCTGAAAACTAGAGAATTTGTCGCTCTTACTCAAGAGCGATCACTTACCGACAACTGAGGGGCACCACGCTCTCTTCACCTCTTATTCAGACTATGCTGGAACCAGCGCATTTAGGAGGTTCGCTGATTCTGGTATTTTCATTTGCTGAGCAATTAAGCTCAAACGCGCTTCCTAACGTGGTTTCGTGTAGTGGCAACCTCTCTGAGCGGACAGGTGCGCAATAAGAGAACCAGATGAAATCGCAAATCAAAAAAATTACTTTGAGGTACGCAGCAAACCGAAGACCGAGTAAAACACCGAAGTACTTTTTCTAAAAAATGTGGAGTTCCAATTCGTTGTAAAAATCACTGCTTTCCATACTTATAGGTTTCGCATAGAAAAAATCTCCGTACAGCAATTGGTTCATTTTTTCTCGGATGCGCCGTCTATAGGTTTGCTTGGGGGCCCTAAAATCGTCCCATATTATGTCTTAGCTGTATCTAAATTTGTCTATGAAATACAGATAAAGTTTGCCGCTTGGCGTAAGCGATCAAATGACCTTGCTTGAATGCCCGAATTCTCGGAGGCAGGGAACACTGAGGATCTCTTCAACCGCCCATGCTAAAAATGCAACTCATTTTGTGGCCAGCTGAACAAAACATGCAGCTTCAGGAATTTAAAAAAAAATATGCGGTTTCGTTTTTTATTCAAAGCGAGCTTTATTTCAGCAGCATAGTGGAAATCAGAGCGATTGAGCTATTTTTGGGCTCTGATTAAGATATCTTCTGCGTCGATGCTCGGCGAGATTTGAGCCGGCTGCTTGCCGAACGTGCTGGCAGCGCGTTGTTTAGATATGATGGGCACAAACTACCCCTATTTCCGGAGAACGAGAAGAGCGTCGAGTGCAGACCACACACCACAAGTGACGACGGCCAAGAAAAAGAAAAGAAAAAGCCACTTTTTCTTGGCCGTCGTCACTTGTGGTGTGTGGTCTGCACTCGACGCTTTCTCGTTTTCCGAAATAGAGGGAGTCTCCAGATCCGAAATAGAGGGAGCCGCCCTTGTGAAGTGGGGTGGGAACACGGGGGAAGAAGCGGAAGAAGAAGCCATGGAGGCGGTTCTTACGACTCTTAAGTTTTGCTCAAAAATC